ATAAGAATAGTTGTCTGCCACAATTGATTTTAAGCAACACTATCTTAAACAGGCAATGCCAAAACTGTAATTAAATTACATGAAGTCATTGTGAGTCCCCAAATGTAAAGACATAGACTTTGCCTATTGACCAAATCATAATATTTATGACAATCCATATGGACCAGGAGTTTATAATTTGTATTGTTAATACAATAGTTTTACCTACCACACCAGCCATCCTCACCTTGCAGGCTTGCAAGTTGCTGCTTCTTTCTTATAAAGGACTCTTGTTTGTAAATGAGACGGAACATTTACCATTTAGATTTCCTGAACTTTTTATGTAAAAAAGATTATTTGTTTATTAAGCTTATAGCCCATCTGGTAAGTGGCCACCATAGCCTACAGAAACTTGCAATCCAAGAGAAATGCTTGGGTATTCATCATCATCAGCCTATTAATGTTCCCACTACTGGGGCAGAGATACCTATGGATGAAATAGGGAGATTGAGCCATGATCCACCTCGCGCACTTTGGTATTATTTACCTTTATATGACCATCATGTACCATCCCACACCATCTACCATAAGGTAGATCCCAGAAGCTCTAGGTGCCCAAAATCAAGAAAGGAAATCCACTAAGCCCTCTTTCTAAATTTCTGCTAAATAAAAAAAAATATGTGACATTCAAATCACACCAAAGTAAGTTCTGTAAGGCTTGTGTTATGGGTTACTAGTGAAACATAGAAATACATCATTCATAACAAAATTTTCTTGTATTCATCATACAAACATTTGCTCCACTACACCAGGGGCACAAACCCAGGATAAAGAAATTGGTTTAAAAATTCCTACATTAATGAAAAAGCCTTAACACAATTTACAGTTAATGTAGGTCTATTTGACAAGAAATATATTATTTGAATTGTGTATTGTGTTGTTTTTTACTTAAAATAGATAATTTGCATGTTATATTTCAAAGTAATATGTCCTGGTTCCTAATACATTATGATTTTAATGTCTGTGTAGGTCTAAGCAAAAAGCTGAATATACCAGGGGTCACTCTTCAACTACGAGTTGTGTCCTCCTAAAGTAAGTGTAATTAATTAAATTTAATACTTATGATATCCTTAATATTTACATATCATGCCAACTTAGCTATTCATTAAACCATCATGTTATATACTACATAACAGAATTTGCCCACATTTTATTTACAGTGTCACAATCAAGTATAGGTTTTTTATGAATATACATGACCAGAATAAAAAGGCCATGGCCTGGCGCAGTAGGCTGCGATGGGCGGTAGAAGCAGTATAAAGCCATTTTTTACTGAACTATATTTTGATCAATAAAATAGGAAATAAAAAAAATATCATGCAATCATTGTAAGAAACTGGGAATGGAAGAGGCTTGGGGCTAGAGATTTTAAAATACGCCCTAGTACATAAATACAAAAGGGCTTTAAAAATTATGTATAAATAGCAATAGTTTTGTTGTGCTATTATCACTGAGGATTAAAAAAAATATATTTTTTAAAATACTGATTGATATTTTTTTTAAGTATTAACAATACTTCTTTTTGTATGTTAAATATAATGAACATATAAGATTGTTTGAAGTGCAGTTTACACTTGACCATTTACTTGTAAGAGAGCGACAAGCCATTCCATGATGTGTTATTATAGTGTATCATCCTTTTTAGCATCACCGCCATAGCTTTCATTGTACCATTTGTAAGAAATTTCAAGTTACATTACATAGAAATGCTCGAAAAATGCTCTAGTGTATACTCACCATTAAGACTTCCATGCTCTACTTACGCTCAGCATTTATTGTTTTGAGTGCATAATTGTTTTTACAATAATTTGCTTTGCGAACTTTAAAAGTAAATTATTATTATTCAATGCGAGTTATGATCTTGATTTGATGCTGATAAAAAGCAAAAGCAGATATGTAGTTTTCATAAAAAAATACTTTAGTTTTAACGACAGCCTGTAAATTTCGAATAATGACACTATTTCTACTATGAATTTTTGCTAACATCCAAACCTAGGTGCTGTATGTAAAGTGTCGGTTTTTCGTCAGGTTTTTGATCAATGTTTCTTAATTTAACACATGCGAAGCAAAATTTGTTCTATACTATAAATTGATTTAATAGAAAATATTTGTGATATTCAAATGCATGGTCGGTTAAATATCACCGTATAGGTGTCTCTTATCCTCGCGGCCCGTACCTGCTATATTGCTAACAGCGCATTCATAATTGCGCGTAGAGTTAAAGAAATAAGGTATATATTCTTCCGCATATCAATAAGTTGTAAAATTTCACGAGCTTGCTTGCAAATTGTCATAACTCTTTGATGCATGCGTTTTAATTAAGACCTTATACAGTATGCATTAAGCCGGGTACTCATTAGCGAGCTGTGATCGTAACATGTGTGATACCGTACGAGGTTCTAGTGTGAACGCTTGTATCTCAGTTGTAAACGTCGGCTCACTGCAAACCGCACTCGTACCGCTCGCAGGAGGTTAGCGAACCACGTACACACTATGCTTTTTGGTTACAGTGCATGCATCGGTTACGGTTACAGCTCGCTAATGAGTACCCGGCTTTAAAGGTGACTTTCAATATTTAAATAATGCCTTACTACCCGATCATCTTACGGAGCGCCGTAGATCGTCCTATGTACCCTTTGGACAGGTTTCGGGCAAGATTAAGTTCGTGTTGATGTATCTAGATACATAGTACACTGTAATAGGAATTGGAAAAGCAAGGACCCTGGAGGACAGAGTGAGAGTGGTTGATAGGATTGCTGGCTGGTAAGATGAGAGGTGTGTGCAACACACAGCAATGTAGACTTGATAACTGCAGACAATGTCTAAAGTTAATAAAACAAAGAAAGAGTGTTAAAGACTTATTTTAAAGTATATTTTATAGCCATATGAAGATAAAACAAGAACCATCTCGATTGTTTGAGCACTCAGCAGGCACAAAGAACTTGAAATTCAATTCTATGTAAAACTCCTATTATACAGACTGGTCATTTTTAAATTCAAAATAAATTATACTCTCAGTTCATGCATTATATATTTTCAAATGAAGCTCTCTTGTGTCTCATAAGTTAATATCTAAAAGTTCTTTTTTTTTGTATTTAGGCCAATAAACAAAAGCATTTTATTAATGGTATGGGTAATATTGGTTGCTTTAAAATACACCTGGGTGTGATGTGCAGGATTGACTCCTGGTCAGTGCTTTAAAGCTGTTTTTGCTTGGGCATGCTCCTACTCCTACTTAGTAAGATTGCAATTTTATTAACTGCGGGAAAACAATACTTAACAAAGTGTCATTTTGCTGCAGTGTAATTTCCCCAGGGAATAGCTCTAATTTTAGTTATTAATCCACTCTTGGTCTTAGTCTTGAGCAACGACAAAGTTGAGATTTTTTTTATTTATTACAAGGTGCAGCAAACTGTTTCCATAATGGCCTGCGCAGACGAGGGGCTTTTTCCGTGAAAGACAAAAGTCCCTGACGCGTGAAATAAATGTCCACCGAGGACTTGTCACGGACTCAACGCACACGGTGTGCGGACATTTGTTGCCCGGAAATTTAGAGAAGCGCACGCTATGGAAGTAAATATTCTGGGATTACGTTGTGTTATATTTACATAAAGTTTAAGAAAAGGAGAGTACTGGGTCCATATCTTTAATTCGTATCGAGCGCGCAACGCGAACTAGATTTCGTCGTGTGCGTTGCTGAGTCAAAGTCACATGAGTTCAATTTTTATTACACCCCTTTATTTTTGTCCCTTCCAGTTCGCATTGTCCTCTTTTGTTTAGGGCCTTTTTGTACGAGGGACTTTTAATTTCTCGTGTGCGTTACTCGATAATTATAAACGATCTATTTTGGCGGACTATTATGTCCGCGGACAAAAGGCCCTCATCTGCACAGGCCACGTAAGAGTGGATACAAATAAAAATGAAGTTGTGTTAACCATTTTACCACTGATTTAACTATACTTAACTTTGATATAGCTCATCTCAGCTTTAATATAGTTTTAATATGCTCAGCTCGATGGCACAGTCACTAGCACGTACGGTCTGCGATCGTGGAAGCTAAGTTACTTTCGCAATGGCCAGTGTTAGGGTGGGTCACTGATTGACTGAATATTATTTGAGGTCCTCCGTGCTTCGGAAGGAATATTAAGCCGTTTTTTCCGGCTGCATTTGCAGTGGTTAGTACCTACCAAACCGCGGGGTGTAGGGTCATGGCTCTTTCTCTTTATTTCATTCATAAGGAAGGTATGTGCACCCACAGTGGGGATATCAATAAGTTGATGATTATTTTCCATGCAAGTCTTTCTATTGAGAATGATAATGTGTAATAACGGCGGCGTTTAGATTTTGTCGCTGGTTCTCCATAGTAGGGTGGTCTTCTACTGTATTTTTTTTATAATATACATATTGCTGGCGAAGCTTTTCTTACAAACTATTGTAAAAAAAAACTTGTTTATTTCGTGAACTCACCTGCCATGTGCGTATGTTGTATGTGACTGGGACAGAAACAACGCCATGTTCAAGTAACTTTTTTTATTTGCTAGTATGTTAGTATAAATATATATTTAAATAAAGAATGTTATATAGTGGAACCTTCTTAGTGTGTGTTATTATTATTGTTAAGATTTAATAATAAGATAACATAATATTGAAGTCAAGCAAGCTCAATTGAAGCCACATACTTCTGATATTTCTACTGATATTGCATTAATCTTTAAGTGAAGCGATGCTTGCTCGAAAGTATTACGTTTATTTTAATAATGTGATATACAATATTTTGTATGAAATAACTTTTTCCTTTTGGTTTACTACAACCAGATTACAGAAAGATTGTGGTATTATAGGCAAGCGTCTATAAGCAGTGGTTTTCATGAAGTAACTTATATCAGTATCGTAATTGGCAGGGCAAAATGACACAACAGTATAGCCTCCGGTGGAACAACCACCAACCCAACTTCATCTCCATGTTCACATCGCTGCTCAACAGCCAGACGTTGGTGGACGTGACCCTGGCGGCAGAGGGGCAGCAGCTCAAGGCACACAAACTAGTGCTATCCGCATGCAGCACATACTTTCACGTGAGTCCCGATGACCTACATACACTCTTATCATATCATACACTCTTTCACGCGTGAATAGTCTTTCCTGAAGGAACGAGCATGTGAAGACAGAAAAGAAGAATACTACAGATCACGAGGGAAAATGACTATCAGAAATAATTATTTTATTTATTAGTATCAAAACGAATAGATTTATTGTATGATAGAAACCTTTGTGCAATTTGACACTAACATGCGCAAAAAGTAAATTAGTGAAAAACAAGTTCTTAACAGACTAAACGTCATTCAAAACTATACTTCATTCCAGATAACATTAATTCGGGTTCCGATTCCTTTTCATGTCATGTATGAATTATGATAATGATATTTAATTACCAGATACTCTGGAGTGTAATGTTATTTATTTGTGTGACTCACCAAAAATTGGAACTGGTTCAAATTATACAATACAATGAAAACACTTTTTTTTTTCATTTTTATTTCCAACATAAACTACTCTTATTATCATGTACAAGCAAAACTTTATGATGATTAATTGTAAATTAATCACTCTCTTCACCAGATGAGGACACCAAAAACGATGACGATTGCCCAATATTAATCACAAATTGCTTCATCAAATTATCGATGACATTATCCAAGTGTCAAATTCTATCTTCTTTTTTTTTCTTTGTTATAGACTGAAATACACAGACACAGACGTAATACTAATATTGTGGTAAATTAATTATTTGGTAAAATGTACAAGTGGCTTCTACTGTTTTTTGTGAACTTTCACTTTTCTATAATGCTGAACCCATTGGCCAATTCTCTTTCATATATTTGTAAAACTGCTTGGCCATGGTGACGGACTAGGCGCGGTTGCGGGTGGCGGCGGCGGTTAGCTAATTAAACAAATGTATGAGAATGTATGAAGTATGCCACGACTCGCGCGCGGCGGGCTAGAGCGGCTGCGGCTGGCGGCGGCGGTTCGGGACAGCGGTAGCGGGCGAGGCGGGCGAGTGGAAACAAAGCTATGGGCTAGTTTGCGCATGGCCACGGTGCACGGCGGTTTTTCGGTCGGTTGAAAACGGCTAGCGCGGGACGGATCGAGCGAAACAAAATATTTTGGACGAATCCACGAGCGGCAGCATTTTATTATGGACACCGAAGCATTTATTACACAAATATTAAACCGACCACCTATAACACAAGTATAAAAATGTAATAAAAAGACTATGGGAAGAAATCAAACAGCTTTTTCCAGATCAGGACAGTAAGTTTTATTAGATAATACCTAATTACTAATAATTAGGTACAAGTATAGTATAGTATTCGGCATAAAATACGAACTGCTTTCAAGGAAACTACGCCTCACTTTAGTTAGAGCCATCCTCAATACGTCCACTTAGTCAGCCGCTGTAGCCGCTACTGAATGTACGTGGCATGCCACCCGCACTAGCCCATCTACGTGGCCAATGCGTAAGAATAACATTTTTGTCTGATGTGCGAAGAGGACTTTGTTTTGGGCTCTTCTTTTTAGGAGATAATAACAACAGCGCCGCGGGTTCTATTGAATGACTTGAGAGTCACTAGAGCCCGCACCCGCACTACTCATTTTTAAATTTAAAACAAATAAAAACAATTATAACGTAACGAAAGAAAATTTTAAAATGACGGTATTTATATTATACATACGTAACCAAAAAAAAAACAAATAATATCAAGATGTATATTTTTCTTGTATTTGTTGAGGAAATAAAGCGAACTTCTCAATAAATAAATAAAGATATATTTTCAACTTCGTTACATTAATTTTGAATATATATATGTAGTCTGAGAGGAGTCGAAGCTGGACCCCTTTGGCCAAAGGAAGTGCTCCGCCGATCGTGCTCTTGGGTTTTATATTGATATACAACGCCATCCCGTCCGTTCCGGTGATAACTGCTTCCAACGGTGAAAGATTGTTGCCAGTTGAAACACGCCCTTGTTCGTGCGTTGTTACGTCCGATCGCTAGATGGAGCAATTCATGAACATGCCGGCGGGCCTTGAGAGCTGTGCAGTTGCTCTCAATAACGTTGAACAGATGTGTTAGTAAATGCATCTTCCTCCTTTGTTGAAACTGGCAAGGGACATATCTTCGGAAACGCTCTCTCAATGACTCCATTAGCTGTCCTTATACTGGCCACTCGAGGAACGCCGTCTTTCCCTGGAAACACAGACAAAATTCTTCCCAAACGCCACTTTAAGGGAGGTAGATTATCTTCTTTGATGAGCACTAAAGTGTCAGGTGCTAATATTCCTTTTAATTCCTTCCACTTAGTGCGAGTCTGTAGTTCCCCAATATACTCGGTTGACCATCGCCTCCAAAAATGTTGCCTAAGCTGCTCGATGCGCTTGTACCGGGATAATGAGTGTGATGGATTGCTTGTGACATCCTCGCTTGCTTGTGAGGTCAGCGGTCGGCCGATCAGGAAGTGTGCCGGAGTGAGTGGGGTAAAATCTGTTGGGTCTGAGGAGAGAGAATACATAGGACGGGAATTCAGGACAGCTTCGATTTGTGCCAAAACTGTACTGAACTCCTCATAAGTTAAATGACTATTGCCCAACACCCGGGTGATGTGGTGTTTACAGGATTTCACCCCTGCTTCTCATAAACCGCCAAAATGAGGTGCGTAGGTTGGTATGAATTTAAATTCTATCCCATTGGATGAAGCATAATCTACTATATAAAAATAAGTCGGGTTTTCCTTCCTGACGCTATAACTCCAGAACGCTCAAACCGATTTCCACGGTTTTGCTTTCGTTGGAAAGGTATCGGGCTCCGTGAGATTTATAGCAAAGAAAATTCAGGAAAAATTAAAAAAAAAATCTTCTTTTAATCACCAAACGAAATGTTACATAAAACGAAGCCATCTGGTGGCGAAACGGAGTTCGCCGGGTTTGCTAGTCAATTATAGATTGAGACTCCCCTCATAAGAAATTTGCAAGTTCCCGGTTAGCACCCACAAAATTCCTACCGTGGTCAGAAAAAATACAAAGTGGTTTTCCTCTACGAGATATAAACCTTTTTAATGCTTAAATATAGTATTCAGAGGTTAAATTGGTAACAAGTTCCAAGTGCAAAGCCTTAGTAGTAAAGCAGACAAACAAACATAAATAACAATATAGAATGGACCAGCGTAATCAACACCACTATTTATGAAAGGAAAATCAGCCTTTACTCGTTCCTTTGGTAGATTTCCCATTATTGGTTTCACTGTTTCACCCTTCATACGAGTACAGATTTTACACTGTAATATAGTTTTTCTAGCGCAAGTTTCTACCACCCAAAGGCCACCAGGTCTCCCTAATGTGCGCAAGTAAATGTTGAGGTCCAGCGTGTAATAGCCGTAGGTGCTCTTGTTTGAAAATCAGCTGTGTTACATAATGCTTACCACACAACAGCATAGGATGCTTCTTGTTGTATGAGAAATCAGGCGAATTAAACAATCGACCGCCCACTCGGATCATATTATTGTTATCTAAATACAAATTTAAACTTAATAAGCCACGAGATGATTTTATTGGAATTTTACTTAATAAAGCTTTATGTTCCTCTGGAAATGATTCCAGTTGCACTCTTAGAACAATAAATCTCAACGACTCTTTTAATTCTGTCACTGACAAAGGACCTGTCAAACGATCACACTTAAGTTTTGATTTGAGGTTATGAACGAATCTCAATACATATGCATAGGAACGCTGAAGTGAGCAAAATGAAGAAAACTTATTAAAATCAAATACAATACCTAAACTGTTACAAGTCATGACAGTAGTTTGTTTTTTGCGTAATTCCGGCAAACTGTTTTGTTTACTAACTAAATCTAGTGATTGACTAAAGTCAATTACCTGTTCATGTAAGAATGCGGGTCCGTTCCACCACAAGCTCGATTTGCTTAATTCATCTATATATAATCCTCTTGTTAATAAGTCGGCTGGGTTGATTTTACCATCTACGTGCCGCCAAGTAGCATTAGAGGTTAATTCGTTTATTTCTATAACCCAATTTTTCACGAAAGGCTTAAGTAGATGAGGTGACATGTTTATCCAGCACAATACTATCGTAGAATCACTCCATAAATAGGTTTTTGTAACTAGATCACCCGGCAAAACACTGTTTATCCTATTAAATAATTTTGCACCGATTACCGCGCCACAGAGCTCGAGTCGCGGTATACTGACCGACTTGACTGGACTGGAGCGACGCGGCTCTTTGAACAGATCATTCGTACTGTAAGTTCACCGGTCTCAGAGAATGTACGGCTGTATGCACACGCGCCGTATGCGTTTTCACTAGCATCTGTGAATATATGGAGTTCGATTCGAACTGGATTAGTCCCCATTATATGACGAGGTACTCGAATTAAATGTAATGAAGTTACTGAATTAACGAATTTCTCACATATACCTTTTATTTCTAGAGGAACTACTTCATCCCAATCTAGTTTACATAACCATAATTTTTGTAACAATATCTTTGCCCTAATGATAACAGGACTTAACAAACCTAATGGATCATATATTTGCGACACGACTGACAATATCAAGCGTTTCGTTAAAGGTAATTCAACGCCTTTTATTTTAGAAATAAAATGAAATTCGTCATTATTATTAGACCAACCTAAACCTAATGTTTTATTGGACTTATTCTCGTTCAATGTAAAATGTTTCGACTGGCAGTTATCATCTTGAGCGACTTCCTTAGCGATTTCATCCGAGTTAAATATCCACTTTCGTAATGGAAAACAGCCAGACTTACACACATCGATAACACCTTTACATATACGCACTAATTCCGTTTTATTATTGTGACCTACCAGATAATCGTCAACATGAAAGTTATTTAATATTGTATGTGCGATTTCCGCGCTCGTGCATTCATGCCCTAACTGTCTAACGCATCGCATGCTATGATAGGGTGCAGACGCGGTTCCGTACGTAACGGTGTTGAGCTGATATGCAGAAAGTGGTTCGGAAGGACTTTCTCGCCATAGTA